GACTCTTTGGGGCCATGAACTCCTGCCAAACCCTGTTGCGTGGTGCCCAGCCCCCATCCTGGAACTCCAGGCGAGTTGGGAAATCAGGCCTGCTGGAGGCCAGCTGGAGGGAGAGGCTTTCGGTGACGGGTCCTGCGTTTCCACCTTGGTTTGTGAGCCTCGCCTCAAGCGTGCGGGCTGGTCCGTGGTCCATATTTCGGGTAGCGGTCTAGACTGGAGACCAAGGCCGCGCTCTGTGGGTCCCTTCCTGGGCTTCTGCAGGACTCCGAGGTGGCCGAACTTTTTGGGCTGCTGATGTGCGTCACCCATGTGTCCCTGGGCCCTTTTTCCTACCTCTGCGACTGTGATTGGGTTGTCACCAGTGTCAGTTAAGGCCGAGAGGCCACAGTGGGCAGCATGTGCGCATGTGCTTACCTCTAGAAGGGAGTGGGATCGGGTGGATGACCTAGGGGGGGCGCCGTGGAAGTCACTAAAGTCAAGGGCCACGCGCTCTTGCGCGACGATGGCCGATCGGAGGCAGCTGAGTACCAGAGGCTGGGCAACGCTCAGGCCGACACATGTGCTAAGATCGGTGCGGCCAAACACCCTCAGGACCCATCTGCGAACGAGAGGGTCCTTCGCACCGCCAACCTCTCCATGCACGTGTGCAAGTTTCTCTCGCGCGCCCTGCGGGCCGTGGGCCGTCCTGCCAACGCCGGTTCGGCTCGGGATGCGGAGACCCGCGGCGGCAGGCGCCCCGCCCCCCCCCGAGGCTCGCAGCCGACGAGGAAGCTCCTGCGTGCGAGCACGATCCCGTCCAATTCGCGGGCACACTGCGGGGTGTAAGGTGCCGGCGCGCGGCCAAGACGGCCAAGACGCTGCGCCAGGCTCTGTGCCGACCTGCTGCAGTCCACCGCCTCTGGAATGTCGGGCCCTATACCTTCTGTGGCTCTTGCGGCTCACTGCAGAGGACACTGCCCCCCCGCGGGACCATGGCGCGTGTGCGCCTCGACCGCCTGTGGGGAGGGAATCACCCACGGTCTGGGGCGAAGCTTCCACTCGGTTCGGGGCCGATAGCCCCGACTCCGTTTGGCGCCTTCGCTCTGGACGTCAAGCTGGGGGGCCTCGAGGTCCTCCCCGACTAGTGAGGTGGTTGCATGCCGAGTCGCCCATTTTGGACGTAGAGGCTTCCGCCCGCATGGTGCACGCTGCTCCGAGGTGGTGCCCGCGGGTATCCCTTTCGCTTGCGGGAGTCCCGCCGCCGCAACACTGTGCCGTCGGGCCATGCCCCAGTAAAACGGGCTCCTCCTCCTCCACCTCCTCCCCCTCCTCCTCCTCCTCCTCCTCCACCTCCTCCTCCTCCTCCTCCACACTCCTCCTCCTCCTCCGTCTCCCCCCTCCTCCTCCTCCTCCTCCTGCTCCTCCTCCTCCTCCTCCCTCCTGATCCTGCTCCTCCTCCTCCTCCTCCTCCTCCTCCTCCTCCTCCTCCTCCTCCTCCTCCTCGTCTTCCCCCTCCTCCTCGTCCCTACTCCCCCTCCTGCTCCTCGTCCTCCCCTTCCTCCTCGTCTATCCTCCCCCTCTTCCTTCTTCTCCTCCTCCACCTCCTCCTCCTTCTCCTCCTCGTCCCTCCTCCCCCCCCCTCCTGCTCCTCCTGCTGGTGCTGCTCCTCCTCCTCCTCCTCCTCCTCCTCGTCTCTCCTCCCCCTCCTCCTCCTCCTCCACCTCCTGCTCCCTCCTCCTCCTCCTCCTCCTCCTCCTCCGCCTTCTCCTCCTCGCCCACCTCCCCCTCCTCCTGCTGAGTCCACGGCCTTGGCACCCGACCCATTTCAGGTCTGGTGTCCACTGGGGACAGGCGTGTCGGCCTGTAGTCCAGATCACATCGCCACCGAGGCTGCGGGAGTCCGTCAGATGGCTCGTGATCGGTAGAGATGAAGGGAGAGCGTCCACCTCCAACATATTTGATTTATCATCCTCCTCCTCCTCCTCCTTCTCGCCCTTCCTCTGGGGCCATGGAGAACCAAGGGGGCGTGCTCCCCCAGGAGGAGGGGGGCACAGCGCCCCATGGCCTGAGGCCTGCGCGCGGACGACGAGGGAAGGCCAAAGGACGTACTGTTAAAAAGAACACGGGTAAGCCGTGAAATCTTGGAGATTTCATGGTCCTGGCCATGGTAGCCATGGTATCGAACACCACTGGTCCTGACCCTATCTTCGACGCGTCCGAAAAAAACTGATAGCTCAGGGAAGGGGCCGAGAGCTCCGGGAACCCCGTGTCCGAACAAGTTAAGTCGATGCATGGGTCCTCAGTCTTCGGCGTAGCCTCCTCGAGGCGCGGGGTTCAAGGGATAGAGGATCGGGATATTTTGCATGTCTTGCTAATTTCTGGGTCTCCGTGGGCCCCTGGGAGCGTGGAGAACCTGGGGACCTCTGCTCGGCCTCCCACCCACACTTCCAAAAAGACCAGGAACTATAGAGTCAGAGGTTTTTCACCTTGCCCGGATGCGCGAAGCTATCCTCGGGCCCCCCAGAGCCGTCGAACGCAGCTCAGGACGATAGATGGTCGAGAAGTCTGCGGCGCCGAGGCTCACACACATCGAGTCGTCGGAGGCTTGGGTGCTCAGACACCTCCTGGAGGTTCGGGGTTGGAGGGAGCGAGGCTTCTGACGCTTGTGAACAATTGAACCTTGTGGGGCCTCCAGGGACCAAGCTCCCTTTCTCCTCCTCCTCCTCCTGCTCCTGCTCCTCCTCTTTCTCCTTCCTCCTCCTCCTCCTCCTCTTCCTTCTCTTCCTCCTCCTTTTCCTTCTCCACCTCCTCCTCCCCCTCCTCCTCCTCCTCCTCCTCCTCCTTCTCCTCCTCCTCCACCTCTACCCTATTGCCCTTTCCAATTAACTCCTGCCACGTGTCGCTTGGGCGGGCCGGGCATTTTGCCTTAGACTTCCGCACCTTGTTCCGATCCCGAATCTCGAAGCTCGCAGCAGTTACAAGGATGGAGCACATGTCGTTTTCAAACTGGTGCTCTCGCGTTAGCGTCGCGCGCATTCGTCTTGGAATCTTGCAGCGGCTATGAAGATGGAGGGCGACCCGTCTTCAAACTGTGGCACACGCCTGGGCACCGCGCGCATTCGTCAGAACATCTTGCAACGGTTACAGGCGGGCGCTATCGAAGTTGGGGTCTCGCCTTAGCTCCGCGCGTCTTCGTTGTGCGAGTTTAACACCGTTACAGGGGTGATGAAGCAACTGTTTTTTTCTAACTAGAGCTCTCGCCCGAACGCCGTGCACATTCGTCTTACCATCTTGGGAGGAGGAGGAGGAGGAGAAGGAGGAGGGGGAGGAGGAGGAGGGGGAGGAGGAGGGGGAGAAGGAGGAGGAGGAGGAGGAGGTGGAGGAGGAGGAGGAGGATGAGGAGGAGGAGGGCGGCTCTTTTCAAACCGGGGCCGTTCCCTCAGCGCCGCGCTCCTTCGTCGAACACCTTGGCAACTGTTTCGAGGGTGGCGGGCGATTCCTTTTTTAAATGGGTCTCTCTCCCTCTCTCTGTTGAAATATCCTCTCCCTCTCTCTGTTGAAATATCCTCTCCCTCTCTTTCTTTGTTTCTCCCTCTCCCTGTTGAAATATCCTGAGCTCCAAGCGGAGACCAGATACTTCGGCAGATGTAGCACCTACGCGGATGAGGGGCTGTTCCTTTGAGGAATGAGGCTCTCGCGTGCGACTTCCTCGGGGCTCATGGCCAGAAGTGTGATACACCCTGCGAGATGCTTAAGAAATCATGGATTAAGAAATTCATAGTCTCAGAATTTGATTAAAGACCCAGGATTTCGATTGAAACCTTAGGATTTACCTTGAAACATTAAGAATCATCGAGACTCTGGCCGAAAATTTAAGTTTTCTCAAGCATCGCCTAGGGTGTACGATGCAAGAGTTACTCGTTTGTCAAGCCGAAACTGAACGATCATACCCTGTCGCAATTCCTTTTCAGAGCGGGGCCCTCGCCTGAATGGCAGGGCGCGATCCTCCGACCCCATCTGTTCGGCCACCGCCTGGGAGGCCTAGGCAGTCGCCCCAAAGGAGATCGACTGCAGACATTCGTTGCCCCCGACTTGAAGTTTCGCCGACGCTAGGAAGAATCGACGACCAAATCAAGCTAGGGGTAACTCAATTCTGTAGTCGATCTCCTTCTCGATTCTTTCAATACTCGGGCTCCGGAAGTCCTGACCCTTTCTCCAGGGCTGGTGTTTCGTCCCGAGTCGTTTTCTGACGGCTCCGAGGTCCCGCGAGGGCCCCGGGGGGCCGAACATCGAGAAGAGCCCCCCGTCGTGCTTTTTGACGACGTGAGCGTGTCTGGACTTCGCGTCGTAGGATTTTCGTGCACAGATGAGCGACATTTCTACATCTGTTTTGTGGGTTCGACGAAACACACTTTTGGGGGCAGCTGAATTCTATAGTCGATGTCCGACCCGAATACTCTGACGAGCCCCTATTGGAAATATAGAAGCACAACAGAAAAATCGGAAAGCTCGAACAATGAGAAAAAACAGCCTCCCGACGATGCGAGCATGTCTGGATATGTTGTTCTACGGTGGCACCCAGGCGCCGCGGAACTTCTCATGTGTCTGGACTTGAGGTCTGAACATTCGGCTGTCCTGGACCCGTGACAATGTCGAGTACGGGAACTCCAAAGCTGCCTGGATTAGCACACGCATATACATGTCTGATGCTGGTGGATGCGGCGCGGCCAGCTAATGGTTGAGGTCTTGAGAGCTGACAACATCGCGTGGCTTCCATCCGATGCTGGACAAAAAACGGAAAGATACTCCGACGAGCCCCCCCGGCCTTGCTCCTCCCATCCTCCTTCCCTTTCCCCCCTGGGGAGCGTGAGGGAGGAGGAGTAGCGGGCCAGAGTAAACCCAGGACGAGGAGGAGGAGGAGGAGGAGGAGGAGGAGGAGGAGGAGGAGGAGGAGGAGGAGAGGGAGGAGGGCGAGTAATTTCCTCTGCCTCCCCCCCCCCCCGAAAACAAAAACAGGGAACGCCGGCGTCGCCCTGCTGCGGCCCGCGGAGAAGGGCCGGGCCCTGCCGGCCGGCTGCCGCCGCAGGCGCGGCGCGGCCGCGAGCAGGTCACCGCAGGAGGGCTCCAATTCGAGCTCGGCGAGCGCCGCCTGCTCCTCGGCCGGCGCGCCGTGCAGGAGGAGGAGGAGGGGGGGAGGAGGAGGAGGAGGAGGAGGAGGAGGAGGAGGAGGAGGAGGAGGAGGAGGAGGAAGGAGGAGGCTATGATGCTATGAGGCTAAGTCGAGGTCCGGCCTCGCTCGACACGGCGGGCGCAAACTACAAGGAGGAGGAAGGAGGAGGAGGAGGAGGACTATGATGCTATGACACTTAGTCGAGGTCAGGCCTCGCTCGACACGGCGGGCGCAAACTAGGAGGAGGAGGAGGAAGGAGGAGGAGGCTATGATGCTATGAGGTCAAATCAAGGCCAGACCTCGCTCGCCACGACGGGCACAAACTAGGAGGACGAGGAGAGGGAGGAGGCTATGATGCTATGAGGCTAAGTCGAGGTCAGGCCTCGCTCGCCACGACGGGCGCAAACTAGGAGGAGGAGGAGGAAGAGGAGGCTTTGATGCTATGGGGCTAAGTCGAGGTCAGGCCTCGCTCGCCACGACGGGCGCAAACTAGGAGGGGAGGAGGAGGAGGAGGAGGAGGAGGAGGAGGAGGAGGAGGAGGAGGAGGAGGAGGAGGAGGAGAGGAGGAGGATGTGAATGAGGGGAAGGAGTCTATGATGCTATGAGGCAAAGTCGAGGTCAGGCCTTGCTCGCCACGACGGGCGCGAACTAGGACGAGGAGGAGGAGAGGAGGAGAAGGAGGAGGAGGAGGAGGAGGAGGGGAGGTGAGGAGGAGGAGGAGTAGGAGTAGGAGTAGGAGTAGGAGTAGTAGGAGTTGGAGTAGGAGTAGGAGTAGGAGTAGGAGTAGGAGTGGGAGTAGTAGTAGTTAGTAGGTAGTAGTAGTAGTAGTAGTAGTTAGTAGTAGTAGTAGTAGTAGTAGTAGTTAGTAGTATTGTAGTAGTAGTAGTAGTGAGTAGTACTAGTAGTAGTAGTGTTGTAGTAGTAGTAGTAGTTACAGTAGTTAGTAGTAGTAGTCGTAGTGTAGTTGTAGTTGTAGTAGTAGTAGTTGAGTAGTAGAGTAGTAGTAGTAAGTTAGTAGTAGTAGTAGTAGTAGTAGTAGTAGTAGTAGTAGTAGTAGTAGTTAGTAGTAGTAGTTACTGTAGTAGTAGTAGTAGTAGTAGAGTAGTGGTAGTGGTAGTGGTAGTAGTAGTGTAGTAGTAGTAGTAGTAGTAGTTAGTAGTAGTAGTAGTAGTAGTAGTAGTAGTAGTAGTAGTAGTAGTAGTAGTGAGTAGTGGAAGAGGAGGAGGAGGAAGAGGAGGAGGAGGAGGAGGTGGGGGGGAGGAGAAGGAGAAGGAGGAGGGAGGAGGAGAAGGAGGAGGAGGAGGAGGGCAGGAGGAGGAAGGAGAAGGATGAGGAGGAGAAGGAAGAGGAGGGACTTATGATTGCTATGGGGCTAAGTCGAGGTCCGGCCTCGCTCGCCACGACGGGCGCAAACTAGGAGGAGGAGGTGGAGGAGGAAGAAGGAGGAGGAGGAGGCTATGCTGCTATGAGGCTAAGTCGAGGTCAGGCTTTGTCGCCACGGCAGGCGCAAACAAGGAGGACGAGGGGGAGGAGGAGGAGGAGGAGGAGGAGGAGAGGAGGAGGAGGAGGAGGAGGAGGAGGGAGGAGGAGGAGGAGGAGGAGGAGGAGGAGAGAGGAGGAGGAGGAGGAGGAGGAGGAGGTGGGGAGGAGGAGGAGGAGTGAGGAGGAGGAGGAGGAGGAGGTGGAGGAGTTGGAGGAGAGGAGGAGGAGGAGGAAGAGGAGGAAGAGGAGGAAGAGGAGGAGGAAGAGGAGGCGGAGGAGGAGAAGGTGGAGGAGGAAGGAGGAGGAGGAAGAAGAGGAGGAGGAGGAGGAGGACGTTGATGCGATGAGACCAAGTTGAGGTCAGGACTCGCTCGCCACGACGGGCGCAAACTAGGGTGAGGAGGAGGAGGAGGAGGAGGAGACTATGATGCTATGAGGCTAAATCGAGGTCAGGCCTCGCTCGCCACGACGGGCACAAACTAGTAGGAGGAGAAGGAGGAGGAGGAGGAGGAGGATGAGGACGAGGAGGAGGAGGAAGAGTAGGACTATGATGCTATGAGACCAAGTTGAGATTAGGACTCGCTCGCCACGACGGGCGCAAACTAGGAGATGGAAGAGGTGTCGAGGAGGGTGAAGAGGACAAGGGGGAAGCTACGATGCTATGAGGCTACGCTGAGGTCAAACCTCACTCGCCAGGACGGGCGCAAATTAGGAGGAGGAGGAGGAGGAGGAGGAGGAGGAGGAGGAGGAGAGAACGAGGAGGATGAGGAGGAGGACGCTGATGATGATGATGATGATGATGATGATGATGATGATGATGATGATGATGATGATGATGATGATGACGATGACGACGATGATGATGATGATGATGATGATGATGAGGAGGAGGAGGAGGAGGAGGAGGAGGAGGAGGAGGAGGAGGAGGCGGCTATGATGCCATGATATTAAGTCGAGGTCAGGCCTCGCTCGCCACGACGGACGTGAACTGGGAGGAAGAGGAGGACGGAGGAGGAGGTAGGAGAATGAGGATGCGGATGTGGAGAAGGAGGATGACTATGATGCTATGAGGCCAAGTTGAGGTCAGGCCTCGCTCGCCACGACGGGTGCACACTAGGAGGAGGAGGTGGAGGAGGAGGAGGAGGTGGAGGAGGAGGCCGGGGAGGCTATTATGCTATGGGGCCAAATTGAGGTCAAGACTCGCTCGCCACGACGGGCGCAAATTAGGCGGAGGTGGTAGAGGAGAAGGAGGAGGACGAGGAGGAGGAGGACGAGCAGGAGGAGGAGGCTATGATGCTATGAGGCAAAGTCGAGGTCAGGCCTCGCTCGCCACGACGGGCGCAAACTAGGAGGAGGAGGAGGAGGAGAGGAGGAGGGGAGGAGGAGGAGGAGGAGGGAGGAGGAGGAGGAGGAGGGAGGAGGAGGAGGAGGAGGGAGGAGGGGGAGGGGGAGGGGGAGGAGGAGAAGGAGGAGGAGGAGGAGGAGGAGGAGGAGGGAGGAGGAGGAGGAGGAGAGGAGGAGAGGAGGAGGGGGAGGAGGAGGAGGAGGTGGAGGAGGAGGAGGAGGAGGAGGAGGAGGAGGAGGAGGAGGAGGAGGAGGAGGAGGAGGAGGAGGAGGAAGGGGCTACGGGACTATGACACCCATTCGAGGTCAGGCCTCGCTCGCCACGACGGGCACAAACTAGGAGAGTAGGAGGAGAAGATGGAGGAGGAGGAGGAGGAGGAGGAGGACCAGTGAAGACCCAATGCGCACAAAAGGCCCCAGCTTCTAAGGCGCTTCTGGACCACATCTGGGAACTCATGCCCTGACAGAGGGCTCGCCCAGCGCCAGGTCAAAGTGGAAAGCCTTCAAACGGCCACCCCCCCAGGACCCCTCGGCTCCAAGATTCCTTCTCTCCATGGCGAAAAGAAGAAGAGGATGAGGAGGACCAGTGTAGACCCAAAGCGCACCACAGCTGTTGCAACAACCCTCCCAAGCCCTCCCTCCAAGTTCCCTCTTCATAGGTCCCTACCAGGGTTCACGTTCACCCAGGGGAGTGCCCCGTTGGGAGACCAACGTCTGAAATTCCTGAAACGTGTCAGAACACCAGGACGAGGAGGAGGAAGATGAGGAGGAGGAGGACGAGGAGGACGAGGAGGAGGGGGGGCAGGAGGAGGAGGAGGAGATTGCGCGTGATTTTTCTTTGGCCGCAAGCAACCGACCGCCACGCTATCCACTCAGCCTCATCCGCTATGCGATGCAAAGGGTCACCAGGCAAGACAGGGACACCCCGGGGACCCCGAGAGCCAACCTGCAAGTGAAGGAGGAGGTTGCGAGTGATGATGCAGTGAAGCTTCTGGTTCAAGTTTCGCGCGTGTGGGCGGTAGCTGGTGAGCACGCACGCTCAATGGCCTCCTGTCGGGTGCCGATACCAGCAGCGCTTTGAAACACAACGCCTTCACCTGAGCAGGAGGAGTATGAGGAGGAGGAGGAGGAGGAGGAGGAGGAGGAGGAGGAGGAGGAGGAGGAGGAGGAGACGAAGCCCCCCGCGCTCCGCCGTCCCTGAGATCCTGGCGACATTTTTTTGACAACTTGCGTTTTTGCCTGGCTTCGGGCCCTGGGACCCTCACAGTTCGATCCGGCTCGAAAAGTTGCAACGAAAAGGTGGGGTCCAGGACTCCGGTCATGATTCTTGAGATGCTGCATGCAGGGCCTCCCCTCGGATCCCGGCGACCCGAGGCTTTTGGTCACTGTCGGCTTTCCCGGGGCGCTAGACCGCCCCCAATCGGCCCTGGACGAGAAGCCGGTCCCAAGGACGGGGTCCAGACCTCCGGGAGGCCACGCCGCGCATAGCAAATCACGACGCCGGATGTCTGGGGGGGACCGGGCGAGGGGAGGAGGGAGGGGGGCGGGAGGGAGGGGGTGATGGAACATGGGACCGGGGGGGTGGGAGCGGGGGCGGGTGGAAAGCAGGAGGGATCAGGGCCAGAGTGAGGGAGGGGGGGGGGTCCCTGGGGAAGGGCGCAGCAGATCTCTGGGAAGCCATGCCGTGCAAAGGACACGGCGTTGGACATCTGGGTCCTGGCTCCCTGCTCCCCCTCCGCCCTCCGAATCTGCGGGGCCCCACAGCCGTGTGGTGACGGACCGCGTGCTGGCCTCGGACTCTGCGTCCCGGCCGCCCGAGACGCCCCCGCAGAGCGGCCCCGAGTCCCAGAGCCGCGCAGCGACCCCGGATCCCCACTGACCCACCACGCGGTGCGGTCACCACACCGCTCGGGGCTCCACTCCTCCCTCCTCCTCCTCCCCTCCTCCTTTCCTCCCTCCTCGGCTTGCGCCTCTCCTCCCCTCCATCCCTCCCTCCTCCTCCTGCCTCCGGAGGCGGCGGCGGCGAAGTCTCCGAGGGGCGCGGCCGCACCGTGGCCCCCGCGCTCTGTGGCCGGGTGGGCCGGCACGCCTTGCCAGCCGCGGCCGCCAGGGTGTTCTGCAGCATCTGGACCATGAACTGGCACGGGTCCACGGGCTTCTCCTTCAGCACGGCCTGGGCCGCCGCGGCCGCCACAGGGGAAGGTATACCCAAACCGCCACCCTTCTGGCGCGTCTTCGCCTCGAAGTTCTGGTCAGAGAGAGAGAGAGGGAGAGAGAGAGAGAGAGAGGGATAAATAGAGACACAGGAGAGACATATACACATACGCATGTATATACACATAAACATACATAAAGTTCTGGTCAGAGAGAGAGAGGGAGAGAGAGAGAGGGATACATATAGACACAGGATATACATATAAACGTACACATGTATATACGCATAAACATACATATATACACATAGAGAGAACTATCTACTCATAGGAGGAGAGAGAGAGAGAGAGAGAGAGAGATAGAGGAAGAGAGAACGAGAGAGAAACACACAGCGAACGAGAGAGAGAGAGAGAGAAAACAACGAGCACGCGAGGGAGAGCCCGTGAGGGACAGAAAGAGAAAGAGAGAGAGAGAGAGAGATAGAGGAAGGGAAAGAGAGAGGCAGCGATGTATATATGTATATATATATATATATATATATATAAATAAAGAGAGAGAAAGAGAGAGAGAGAGAGAGAGAGAGAGAGAGAGAGAGGGAGAGAGAGAAAAGGAAAACACAAGGAGAGAGAGAGAGAGAGAGGGAGAAAAAAGAGCCCGACTGAAGAGAGATCACGGCCTGAAGCAGTGCCTGCATCACCTGCTTCAGCTGGTGCCGTTCCAAGTAGCCAGTGGCCTCTTCCGCCGGCTTGGCCGCGTCGCCGCCGCGTGGGGCGGGGTGGTGCTCCTCGCTGGCGCCCACCACCTTGGAGGCTTTTCCTCTGCAGCTCGTACCAAGAGGAAACAAGTAGCGACCGACTTCGGAAAGTGTGTGGGCTGAAGGCCCAACCTCGTTTTGGGCACTCCATTTTTTGCACTTGCGCATGCTTCTGCAGATGTGTCCTCCAACTGGCGAGGTCTGCACCATGCCCTCCTCGAGAGAGAGGGGGAGCTCTCACAGGAAGGGGCCTGGCACGACGATCGAACATGCGATGCCCGATTCGCAAGCCGACATCTGCTCTAACATCGAGAGAGAGAGAGAGAGAGACAGGTGGGGGCGCACGCTTCATGTTTTACACGATGTGTGTATCTGCGCGTGCAAGGATAACGTGGCATAGCCTGGCTTGCCAAGAAACGACGAATAAAAACTTAACGGGTCGCATCGCCACGTAACTTGTGGTTGCTCAATGTGCAACACGTGAGCATGCGCTCATGTATTGCCTCGCGCTGCGCCACGACCAACAGCATTGCAGGGCGCGACATGCCGGCTCAATTAATGGAATCTAACGGCGATGCAATGTGTCTCGTTACGTTGCAACGCTGCATTGTAGCAACCTGCGTGGCAATCGGATTCGCTGCAGATGTCGTGTTACAAAGTAACGCCAACATGTAGGCACTGTGCAGTACAATGCCCAGGGCACACGCCCTAGCGGCCGCGAGATAATCTCATAGAACATTGCAATATCGTGCGTGGCAATGCGCTGGGATATGCTTTGTGGCAATGCATTGAGGTGTTCGGCACGGCATTGCGCTGAGAATGCATATGTGTTCGTGACATCATGTTGTGGCTCGATGGCAACGCGTTGTATTCTATTCGTCGCATGTTGCTGATGCATTGTAGGACAACGCAATGTATCGCATGGCTCTGACATGAATCGCATGCCCTCTGGTACTTCCAATTTGGTAAACACGTCACGTTGCCCCACGGTGTCCTGCATGCTATACAGAAAGCTTATACAGTTTACCGTGCGCGACGTATACAACACCATTAAACGACGTGTACTCCTATGAACCGTTCATACAAACAAGATGCAAACCATTGCTACACCACACCACGCCGCAACGAGGCACGCCACACCACGCTTCACGACACTGTCCTGTATGAGATCACGCACCGTTCATCTACACCAGTGCCAATATTTCCCTATACTACGATGTGCGTGTGTGCGTGTGTGCCACGATACACTGCGCGGCAGTACGAAACGTAAACACGACTCTAAACGCAACGACGCACATGCGAACGCTCACATCCGGCTTCGCCAGTACCTCAAACACATGCACACGTACAGCGGTGTCGAACTTGTCAAGCGCGAGTGACGGACTTCCTGCACTGGAATGGAGGCGCCCTTTTCCCCCATGAATTCGCGCCCGCGCACGTCCACACGTACGCGCATGGGCGCGCTTGCGCTACGCGTACCCTGTGAGGCGTACACTAGCAGATTCCAGCCGCGACGCAGCAAGACTAACGAGACCCTGAACCCTGCTTCCGCAAGCGGAAGACTGACAAGCAATCAATAATACCACGTGTCCAACAAACAATCGCAGGTACACCAACGGTCTTAGCACATCAGCCCCCGCCAGTTTCTTGTTTTGGGTTTTGGCCTCTTCCCGAGCCTGTGGAACAAGTTCTGGTGGAGGCTAAACAAGGCCGCCTCAAGTATTCATACAGTCCTCGTGCTAAGCACAGAAAACACTGAATCAGGAACGAAGGAGCTTTCCTGGCCACCAAGCCTGGGCCACGAATAGGTTCCCCAGCACAAAAGAACGGCCCCCAAACCAGAACCACTCCCGAGCCCGAAATGGCCCTTCTTGCAGCGTCTTACTGTGATGCAAGACCGCAGGCGTGCAATACCAAGCTGGGAACACCGCAAGCGGGCGCAGACCTCGAGCTGCAAGGACATGGGCACATCGGCGGGGCTGCCCCCCTGCGGCGTCAGCGGCACGGACCTCGGCGGCCCGTGTGGGACCCGGAACCGCCCGCAACCGGCCTGATCATAGGCCCGACTGCGACGGCTGTGCGCTCGTGCGGCAAGGAATTCGCTTCCCCCGTACACTCCTGCCTCCCCCCTCCGCCCCCCTCCAAGATGGAGCGGGGGACGGAAAAGGGGGGGGGGTGGACAGGAGGAGGGGACGGGATTGGAAGGAAGGGCTGTGGTGGAGGCGGGAGGAAGGGGAAGGGGAGAGGAGGGGAGGGGGAAGGACACGCGGAAGAAGGATGGGTGGATGGCGGGGGAAAGGGCCCAAGCCTTTTCGCAACGGAATTTTTGACAGAAGCAATGCCACAAACGGGGTCCCAAAAGCAAAACTCGCCAGCAGACGCTCTATCCGTTTTCTTGGGAAGAAACGACGCCTTGCGGTCTTGGGAAGGAGAGCAGTTGTGGACCAGTGCTTGATCGAATGTAATCATCATGTCGATACCGTCGGTAGCCGTCGAATTCGTGAGACCAGGTTGTAGCAACAACAGCAGTAGTAGTAGTAGTCGTAGTAGTAGCAGTAGTAGTAATAGTAGTAGTAGTAGTAGTCGTCGTCGTCGTCGTCGTCGTCGTCGTCGTCGTCGTCGTCGTCGTCGTCGTCGTAGTAGTAGTAGTAGTAGTAGTTGTATTAGTAGTAGTCGTAGATAAAGAAGTTGAAGCAGATGTGGAAGCAGTCGTAGTAGTAGTGGTCGTAATAACAGTAAGTAGTAGTAGTAGTAGTAGTAGTAGTAGTAGTAGTAGTAGTCGTCGTAGTGGTAGTGGTAGTAGTAGTAGTAGTAGTAGTAGCAATAGTCGTAGTCGTAGCAGTAGTAGTTGTAGTCGAAAACGTAGCCGTAGTGGCCGTAGTAGTACTAGTAGCAATAATGATTCTGGTGCCCCAACAAGGAGTAGTAGTAATAGTAGTAGTAGTAGTAGCAGTAGTAGTAGTAGTAGTAGTCGTAATAATGGTAGTGGTAACCGTGGCAGTAGTAGTCGTAATCGTAGTAGTAGTAGTAGTAGTAGTAGTAGTAGTAGTAGTCGTAGTCGTAGCAGTAATAATAATAGTAACAGTAGTAGTAGTAGTAGTAGTAGTAGTAGTAGTAGTAGTAGTAGAAGTAGTAGTAGTAGTAGTAGTAGTAGTAGTAGTAGTAGTGCGAGTAGTAGTAGTAGTAGTAGTAGTAGTTGTAGTAGTAGTAGTAGTAGTAGTAGTAGTAGTTGTCGTAGTAGTCGTAGAAGTAGTAGTAGTAGTAGTAGTAGTAGTAGTAGTGGTAGTAGTCGTAGTAGTAGTAGTAGTAGTAGTAGTAGTAAAAGTAGTGGTAGTGGTAGTAGTAGTAGTAGTAGTAGTCGTAAAAAGGGTCGTAGTGGCTGTGAAAATCATAATAACCGTAGTCGTAGTAATAGTAGTGGTAGTCAACGTAGTGCCAGTAGTCGTAGTAGTAGTAGTAGTCGTATACATAGTAATGGTAATACTAATAGTAGTAGTAAGCGTAGTAGTAGTAGTAGTAGTAGTAGTAGTAGTAGTAGTAGTACCAGTAAAATTAGGAATGGTGCTAGTAAGCGTCGCAGTAGCAATCGTCGCAGTAGAGGTAGTGCTAGTCATAGAAATAATAATAACTGTAGTAATGAAATCGTACCAATAATCGTAGTAGTAGTAGTAATAGTAGTAGTACTAGTCGTAGTAGTAGTCGGAACCGTAGTCTTAGTGGCAGGAATAACAATCGTAGTCGTCGCACCCGTAGTAGTCGTAGTACGAATGGCAGTAGTAGAAGTTGTAATGGTAGTAGTAGTCGTACCAGCAGTGGTGATGGAAGTCGTAGTAATGAAAGTAATAGTCGTAGAAATCGTAGTAGTAGTAGTAGTAGTAGTAGTAGTCGTAGTAGAAGTAGTAGTAGTAGTAACAGTAGTAGTAGTCGTGGTAGTAATAGTAGTAGTAGTAGTAATAGTAGTAGTAGTAGTAGTAGTAGTAGTAGCAGTAGTAGTATGAGTAGTAGTAGTAGTAATAGTCGTAATAGTGGCCGTAATTGTAAAAAAAGGAACTGTAACCGTAGTCGTAGTAGGAAACCGGAAACGTTGTAGTAGTGGTAGTAGATGCACAGGTAGTCG